TTTATATATTTATACACAGAAAACAAAGGATACTCATAAAACAGCCTAGTTGGATTCATTGATCCATGAGTCGATGCAATCAGCTGGTTTTCCTTAGATAGAAAACTTTGAATCAATCTGACTGGATGATCTGGTGAACTGGAAAGTGACTTGAGTTGACATGTGAATTGGTGCTATAGAAATTAACTGAAATGAAAATTGAACTAAATGTGAAATAACTGGCATTGGTGGAATGAACAACCCATCTAGTTTGTGTAAATGTAAAAAGTTTGTTGCATATTTGCAACAATAGATTATGATCAATAAGAATAGGTTAGGATCCTCTGGATCCAAACTCAACTCCCTACATGAAGAACCAGAAGCCTTCTGTTTTGGATGCTCCAAAAATCTGGAACAGATTTTTATTTTACTTTCTCTTTTTAATCATTTTTTTTCTCTCTTTAACAACTTCAGTGAAGGAGATGTTTGAGTTGCCTTACCTTTACCAAACCAAAAATTTAAATTCAACAATACTGCAGCACATAACACCACAAACAAAGATTTGTACAAAAAAGTGAGACTTTATTTATTAAACCATAATGAGTCAGTAACAAAGTCCATCCCAGACCATTGGACTATGTTCTTAGACCAAATACACAAGAATATTTCCTCTCTTTGGACTGAAGCCCCCACATCAGAATCAACCCGGATCCAGTTTGGACCTTAAAAAGCCTCATTGTGTGATGATCTATGAACCCAAAAACAATACCGACACAGAAGGAGTGCATGTTCATTAGTATTACCCGTCCTTACATACACAGTATGTGGCTGCGTCCAGAAACATGGTTTTGTGGAGCTACAATCAGAGATGCACCGATCAGAGCCCTGATTTCTGCTTGTTGTCAACAAGCAAATGTCCTTTTTAACAGCTAAATCATGATTTACTCAAATCATTTTAGTGGATTTCACAAACACTTCTTCTCATTTGTGATACGCTACATGTCATTAATTTGGTTCATCAGGTTTTTATTTTAAAGTCTCAAAAAGGCATGGATCAAATA